TTTGTCTCCACAATCAATTGTAATATCCATCCATGTTATCATTGTTGGCATTTTTAATTAAAATAAATATACACGATTTAAATCACATTTAGGTGTCAACTTGCATCTCTTTTATCATTTATAAAAGAAAAACTGGACTAATTCCTTTTAGATGAAATAGGATCTGAAATTATCAATTCTATCCCGTTTAACAAAATGAGACAAAAATTTTGATTTAGTCACTTCTTAAAAAATACCATCAATAATATATCAATAATAACTTGCTTTTTTTTTTTGAATAGAATTATATATGGGCAATTGCATAATTTTTTTCAAATCATGCGCACATTGCATTTTTTTTTTTTTTCGTGCATCTCTCATTTTATTATTTCGTAACATGTTATTATTTATTTAACTTTGTTATATAGAAATTAACGATAACCATTAGTAAGTTAGATTACTCTGAACGGGTTACTAATTAATTAATTAACATGTACATAAGAAGCGCAAAATTAACTTTGTAATAAGTTTTATAAGTTAGAAGTGACTTGATTAGTTTCGTCTAAATAAAATAAATAAATTTTTTAAAATATTTGTTATCATCAATTAGTAATGCGCTCTTCCAATTCTATAACGAGACTTAATAAGAATAGAAGTTATTTGTTTTATAATCAATTGATTGATAATAACAAAATAAATAAATGAATATGATAAGTATTTGTTTAATACTTCAAAATAAAAAAAACAATACAAATTTGTCTGTTTACATCAACTAAATTCAATTGATCTGATTCCTTCTAATAATTCCAACTTATCATTATTTAGTTGTATATTATCAAATTGTTTGATACAAATTTAGTTTCTCTATTCCCAATAAAGCTTCTATTTAGAGCTAAAGTTCTGAACGGTTTCAGTTTAACTCTTTGAACTGAATTGTTCGGAGCCTTAGGCTAGAAACTATTTGGCAGTCCCTGGTGTTCTAGTTTTTGTACTCTACTTATTTAGAATTAAATTTATTGACTTCTAATCTAATAAACTTATTATAACAACCAATATCCCAGTTGGACGAATTTTTCTGGAGGCACAGACTTAATTACTCAAAGGCGTTGTAGTATAGAACCTGAAACAATAAGTGACTGCATGTGTTTAAAGAATTAGTGGAGACGATAAATTTTATATATGAATTGAAAAGAAATAGAATGTCACTAGGGTTTCTATTTGAATTATTTGTTTATTCGTCATCAAATTACATTGAAAGTTTAATTGAATAAGACTAATAAAACAAAATGAATAAAATGAAACGAATAATTCAAATAACGAGTATTCAAACAAAGTATGTAAAGTAAAGCGAATAAAACAAATAAAATGAATAATAATTCGAATTAATATTTAAAATTAAGATTGAGTTGTATTACGAATAGAAACTCTAAACTAAAACGTATAAATTTTGTATACATCTATGAAGAGACATCGGAAAAGTGCAGAGTACAGAAAATTTTGATCTTTTTCTTTTTTATTTATTAATAATAAAAAGTTATTTACAATAAAAAATTTTCATCAAAAGAAAATCATTATTAAGTTTGGACATGCAATTCAATCCAGAAAAAACAGTCAATTATGAGAGACACTGTTTATGGTATTTCCAAATGATTGCTAGATGATAAATTATGTAGCAATGAAGATAATGTTGGAGGAAAGAGGATTATGGAGGGTTGGCCTAAAAGTATTCTGTAAAACAAATCTTTAGTATATAATTATATTTGATTGCAATAAAAATAAACTACCTTTCATTATTATTTTCTTCTTATAAGTTTCTCTTGAAGAACCTTTAACTTGTTGTGTGAGGCATATCTCAGCAACCCAAGTTGTCTATAAAAAATTATGCTCGGAAAACATACGAAAAGCGCACTGTTTTTCCGTGCACTTTTCATAAAATTTTTTATGACTTTAAGAATTAATTGAAGCAAGTTCATATTCTACCCGAAACTTCATGGTGAACTCAACTACATGGAAATGTACCAGGGCTGCTAACGATATGCTGGGTAACACTGCAATTACACTAGAAAATATTCCAAATGCCCTTAATTCCGTACCCAGTAAGATCCTATTCTAATTCAATAATTCCAGATGATAATTGATATTGGTTGATCGTCATTTTTGAAAGTCTTTATTGTTTTGTTGCGTACTATTTATATTAGGAGAAAATTATTGATATTGACGTAAACTTGCTATTTTATTTGGTTTGACGCTTAATGTTACGAGTGTAATAATTGCATCAGAAAAATTCCTTAATGAATTGCATACTACAGGATTTTTATAATGAATTGAATTTTAAATCTCTTTTCATGAAAATGCTCGAATTCCCTATAAATTTGCTCACATTGGTCCAAAGAAATTCTTTTATAGCTCGAAGAAACGATATTTGGGAAGGACGTCAATATACTTTCAATGAGTCATCTTCGTGTCAAATTAATGCAGAACCTCCTCCTTCAGAATCAGTCTCAACCGGGAACTCTGACCAGTATATACATATACACACTACCTACCCAAAAGTTTCGGTCACCTTAAATTGATGAATTGCGCAAAAGTGTACATAATAACTACACAAAAAATTTATATTATTTTGATCCTAGGTATTCATGTACTTAAATATAAAATTTTAGATTTCTAGCCTTTATACAGCTCAAATAATAATAAAAAACGAATTCCGATTATTTTTGAAGTGAAAAAAATTAGAATTTTGGAAATATAATTTTATTATTAAAAATGGCTTAAATTTTCAACAGAAGCCTCTTATCAATTAGTAACTAGTAGGCCATCCATTGTTTGCAATGTATTCTGGAATTCTACGAGGCATGCTTTCAATTAATTTTAAGTAAACGTTATTTGGAATTTTATTCCATTCTTCAATTATAGTGGTCTCTAATTCATTGAAATTTCTTGCTGGTTTAGGTTTTTTTCGAATACGAGTCTCTAATTCACTCCACAAGTGTTCAATCAGATTTAGGTCTGGAGACTGGCTTGGCCAACTTTCTAAGATTTTTATTTCGTTTGTTTTTAGCCATTTTTTAACTTTTTTAGCAGTATGGACTGGTGCATTATCATCTTGGAACAGATAACCTCGATTATTAAAACTATTGTTCATTAATAGCAACAAATAAGATTGGAGTATCTCAATGTAATCATTTTAATTCATTTTCCCATCAGCTTTTACAAGTGGACCCAATCCTTTTCCAGAAAAGCAACTCCAAAATATTACACTACCACCTCCGTGTTTGACTGTGGATCTTAGATTCTCAATATCAAACCTTGTTCCGATTGTCCTCAAAACATGACCTGGGCCATCATTTCTAAACAAGGTGAACCTGCTTTCATCAATCTATATTACATTTTTCCATTTTTTTTACACTCCAATCTTTTCTTCTTAAGCACCAACCCATACACTTTTGTCTGTGTCCCTCATTAATAAGAGGCTTACATGCTGGAACACAAGAAAAAATGCCAATATCATGCAGGCTTCTTCTAAACGTGTTGATTGAAACTTGCAGACCAGTTTTCTGATTAAATTCTTTTTTTATTATTTCAGCTGATTCAATGTTGTTTTGTTGACAATTGCTTTCAATACTTTTTGATGGTCACTATTTAATATTTTTGGTCGACCACTTCGAGTTAAGTCTATGACACTACCTCTTATTTCATAATTCTTTATAGTTCGAGTAACTGTTGTTCTAGAATTTTGCTAATTTTCACTTTTGAATCGCCGCCTATATGGAGACCAATTAGACATTTTACGAAATTTAAAATTTTATCAAAAAATTATTAAAAAAAAACTATCCAAAATAATCTAAAAAAAAATTTCTTGAGAATTAGATGAAATTAGATTATCGCATCTAAAAATCTCATAATATGTTAATATGTGGGTTTTTAAAATTCTTCATGTCAAATTTTTTTCTATACAAAAATGATCGGAATTTGTTTTTTTATTATTATTTGAGCTGTATAAAGGAGCATAGTGGAAGTTTGTTGCTACACGAAACATTATATAGAACCTATTGCTCCTGAAACTTCACCAGTATATAGTTGTTACCTCTCTAAATTGGAGATCAAGTTCGGATCAAATTCAAATCCAGTTTATCACTTACTTTTTATTGC